GGTGCCTGGCTCATATACCAGCTCTCCACTGCTTCTTCTAGAGCACTGGGCTCTCCTTCCACCGTATCCCAACAGCCCGCTATCTGCATATGTGACCTTCTACCTCACCAGCATTACAACTCTTGGGATTTGTGTCTATACTCTCATAGAACCAAAGCTTCCTGAGGGCAGGCCTGTCACTTTCTTCCATGTAACACCTACACCTGCCTTGCCATCAGTCAGTCAGTGTCAATGCAAGTTTGTGTGAGCCATTGACCAGATGGCTTCACATCTCTTGGGCTCTATTCTCTCCCATAAAGGGGATGGGCTTGTTGGCTGTGAAAGTACCTGCTGTGTGTGATGGGTAGTACGTAGCAATGAGACAGAATAGGCAGGCACAGACCCTTCCCATAAGTTTTCTTCCCCAATGTGAGCTAATTTAATAGATTATGTTTTTAAGGTAATTAGACTGCAACTAGCAACTGGGTTTTTTTTTTTATCCTTGTAAGAGACTTTCCTGCAACCTTAGTGTGTGCAGAAATTGTGAGTCATGTGCAACAAATGTTAAATACACCTGTGCAGGAGAGAAGCTGGACTATAACCCGTGTACGACACCTCCACAGGGAGCCAGTCTGCAACACTTGGCTATGAACTATCACACTTGTGCTTGAGCATAAGCCCTGAAAAAAGCTGCATTCGGTCAGCATTGCTGCCTCTTTGTGATTTCTACTTGAAGTGAACAAAAACCCTGGGAAGGCTGGTGACTGCAGTATCTCTGACACATGGGGATTGGATGGATACTGGGCTGAGGAGAAGAATGAGCAGGAATAGAGGAGTAAGCAAAAAGAGCAGTTCTTTCTCTGGAACCATAACTAATAAGCCCCAAGGGAACTTCCTAGGTTCAGAATGATGAGTGAAATTGTGGTTGGGTATCTAGAAGGTCATCCCTGGGCAAGACAGTGGGCCTTACTCCTGGCTATAGGATGTTGAGGACCCTGGAGGTGCCAGGTGGGCTTGGACGGAAGATACCAGCACCCTCCCCAGGGTAGATTTAGACTGGGAAGGTTATGTGTGTGTTCCCTCTCCTTTCTCCTTGGAGCTGATGACCCTTCATTAAATCTGAGTTCTAGAATTAGAAAGCACAACTATTCTCACCTGCCTCACACTTACCTGAACTTTTCCCTTCTTTGATAGCGGGGAGTGCCGATGAGGTAAGTGTCTATATATATGTAAATGACTTCCCAGCAAGGTGGCAACAGAGAGATGAATGGGGTGAGACAGGAAAGAAAGGGGGGCCCACAATGAAAGCAGTTGAATGCCTTAAATTCCAGTGGGACTATCTGCCTTGTTTGTGGGAGAAATGTGACATATGTGTCTGTCTGGAAGGTTGCTCCTATAGGCATTGTTTATAAGAAGCAATGCTAGGAAGGTCAAGAAGGGAGCAGAATGTTGGGTCTGGCCTTGAGCTCTCTGAATGCCTGAGCAGGATGACATGCCTCAGTTGCACCTCAACATCTTTTAGGTTCAAGTTGTTCCTGGGGAGTTTGACCCATTGATGGGACGCTAATGGGAGGAAATGGGAAAAGCTTTCCCATACGTTCTCTTCTCAGTTCCTATTCTGTGCGGCAGAAGGACTCCAGCTACTGTCCCTGGGGACAGAGGGAAGTGGAGGTCATGATGATGGTGCTGGGGACTATCAGAAATTGAAGGACACAGCCTCAGGTCCACCTGGTGGTTTATCTGCTGGTGAGACATCTGCCATTGGATAGTGGGCCTACGGCCTTCCTTTCCAAAGCCCGGGTTACCCATCTTCCTGAGACACACAGCTTCCTTAGAAAGTATAAGCATATTTTTTTACTGAAAGATGCAGAAAAGTATCTCAAAGCAGAACAGACACGCACTTTGGTCTATGCTTAACATAGTATTTGTGCTAAAAAAAAAAAGTGTATTAAATAAATGACCTCACTCCTGCTGAACTAAGCATGCAACATTTATCATTTATTCTGTTCTCGCACTTCCTAAGACATGTCAGCATTTTCAATTCTGTTCACATGCTCTGCTTTTCTACTCCTAGATGATAAAAATATTGATATACAGTTTTGACCATATCATGGTGAAAAAATTTCTTCCTCAGTCTATATGTTTATATCTTCTTCATTATTCTTGGGCATTTACTTTTCTGTGTGAAAATTAAAAGCATTTGACTAACTCCTGAAAAAAGTACCCTACTGATATGTAGTTGGAATTGTTTTACAGTTATATTTTAAATTTGAGAGAGCTGGCAAATACTTCAAGGTGCTGATCTGCTCAAATTGTAAAATCAGAATTTCACTTGGAGTCTGAGGACTGAAATTTAGGAAAACAGAGGTTCAAACAGTCCTGAATGAGTCCTCTGGAGACACCCAGATTGTCTGAGTTGACTTGGAGAAACTGATGACACAGGAAATCACAGAAGTCATATGAGAAGAAAGTTGACTAGAGCAGAGAAGTTACTCTAACACTGGGCGTCACATCAGTATCTGCCCATGTTTGGCCCTCGGCGTAAAGGTGGCTGGTCATTTTGAGAAAGAGAAGCAGCAACTCCCTCTTCTTTTTTTTTTTACTGTGACGGCCAAAGGCAGATGTGGTTGCCCCAATAGCAGTCATGCACCTCCCCTTCACTTACCTGTGTCCCCTGAGGATGGACTGACATAGCTTGCCCCTTTTCCTCCCAGGTTACTTTGTGGCCAAGCTCCAGGCCACTCTGAGAGCTCAACAATAGCTGCAGTGACCCTGCCCTCCTATCACTTCAGACCCTAGGGTAATCAATCCTAATTAGTGGCAAAGACCAGGGAGGCATCTGAGCCCACTGCTAATACCCCAACCATTCAAACTCTGCTAAGCTATGATAAACACAACTAGCCCTCCTGAAGATTTTCTGATTTGTTCCCACCATTCTCAGGGGGCACAACAGCTGTCAGTGAAACAACTGTCAATGAAATGTGTTGACTGATGTTTCACTGCACTGCTGCCATGACAGCTGAGACTATCCTTGATGCTCTCTACACATGCTGCAGGAGATGTCTGTCCTGACCACAGCAGGCTTGACTTGGAACTAAACAGTAAAATTTAATTTGGACCACTCAGTAGACTTGGATCAGAAAGCTTGAGTTTAGAGCAATTGAAACCAAATAACAGGCTCTAATTTGAGCCAATCACAGGCCTGCAGCTCCAATATAAGCTATATAAGCAACTCTCCCCTCACAATTCTCAGGTTGGTTTAGGAAGACATGCTCTAGTATACTGACTCCCCTGTGGTATACCACAGGCTTCATTTAAATAAACCCTTGTTCTAGGGATCTTGTATATTAACTCAGGTCGTGTGAGCTCTTCTACTCAAGTGTCATCCTATAATGGGGTGGATAGAGTAATTGTTTTTAAAAAGAGGCACAAAAAAATAGTGGCTGTTAGCTCTGAAGAGCTACAGAGGTAGCAGACTTCTAAAATCAATGGCAAAGACCAGCAATTGACTGAATCAACTGACAGTATCCATCATGGATGAGCAGTAGCTGGCAGTGGCAGTGACCAGCATCAGGCAATGTAGACTGGCAGCACCAAACGTTACTGTTTGTGGTGTAGATGTTATTGACTGGCAGCTTGAAGGCCCAGAGTGTAACACTAAGGGCTGAGGGCCCTTGGTGTTCAAACCTCAGAGCAACTTGTAAAGCTGCACTTTGCCAATTCCTGATTTCCATCTGTATTGAGCAAAAGAACCCATGACTGATTAGGAACAAGGTGTGGCCATCACTCAGGTGCAATTTCTAATACAAGATGTGAATGGCTTTGCAGGCCTTGGTCAATTCAAAGTCAGCCTTCCTCTGCAGCTCTCTTCTGTCTAGTCTTAAGGGTTCACTTTTCCCAGCAGCAACCTGACATATGCATAGATGCTAGTCCATTAGTGACTTCCTGACGTCATTTAAAAATGCACTCTGAACTTGCTTTTCATCATAATTTTCCTCTAGACTTAGTTGGCATAT